TTATTTATTTATTATTATATATATATATATATATATATATATATATATATATATATATATATATATATATATATATATATATATATATGTACATACGATGATGAAACTTTTCCTTCAGTATATATAGATATATGAAATTTGGATATGTATACATGAATATATAAAATATATGAAATTTAAATATCGCTGCACTAGTAATCTTTACATTTTTAAACCTTTTACCAGTTCAAATGATATCATTACTCTGGGTACCTCACACCTATTCTAGTAACAAAGAAATTTTTTGTATTTTATGCTTGCCGTATTTAGGGATGTGGGAACTCATGCAAAACCATTGGAGATTCCAGCGGAAAAGATGGGTTTAGGCGATGCATCATCCGGAAGTTATGAAACTGAATTTCCAACTTTGAGTTCCCTAATTTTGGATGAAAATACCAGCGAAGTGCATGACGAAGCAATCAGCGGCTCATCATTTGATGCCGCCTTGGATGATAGGCAAAAAAACGATGAATTGACTATACCTCCGGAAGATAAAGCTGAAGAAGAACTCAAGTCCGACCCAGTGGAAACTTTGGTTGGTTTTTTTGGAGCTATTTGATGTTCACCCGACGATTTTTGAAGTTTTTACTTTTTTTTGTTTCGTTGGTGAATAATTAATATTTTAGGTCAGATTACTAATACTTTCGGAAACTTTTTTTATGGGGCTATTGTGAGTTGTTCGTAGTTCTACACATGTTATGGCGTCAGTGGAATTTCATGATTTCGTTTCGTGAAAATTCTCATTTATGAGAATTTATAAAAATAGCAAAATTATTCTGATTTCATGGGAATAAGTCTTCTTTTTTCAGCTTGAACGTTGTTTTTTGGCTGCACTGAAGTATCGTGTAACTGAAAAAGGACAGCTGCCATTGGATATTGGAGAATTTTACTCACGCTTCCTGCTTCCATGTATACCATCAGGTCGACGGATTGATATGAAGAAAACAGTGTATAAGAAATTCAGCGTTTTCCTGGAACATATTAACAAAAGAGGAAGTGAACCTATTGTAAAACTCACAGTAAATAAAAGTAAAGGATCGGGAATGATTGAAAAGGTTTGAATGGGATATAATGTTTTCTATTTTCCTTTCATTTTGCAATGTGCTTTAGTAGTATCACGCTTGCCGATGAAGACTGGACCTTCTGCGTGGTGCTTGATAGCTAGATCATGATTTCTGTTGCTCTGCTAATCTGAGCAAAATGCATCCTTTGTTTCAAGATATCCCAGCAATCACTGTCATTAGGAGAATGAGAGGATGCATTCTGATTGATTATTGAATTTTTAAATTAACAACAGTTAACGTTTTAGATAAATTGGATGCATCCACTTCTGAAGAATTTTGAAACAACTGATGAAGAAATTGACAACATAAATAATGAAAAGGGGCTGGTTAAAGTGGACGACTATCTTGCAGTTACCGAACCAGTTTCGGCAATTTTCCGAGATCACTGTGGAAAAGGTGGTTTGATGGACAAGACACAAGTAAGGCAGATAATCACTGCATACGTTAAAAAAATGGTATGTTATATATTAAGATGTTAGCTCTTTAGCTTCAGAGTGCTCATACTAGTTTTTTCCAAATTTTGCCAGTCCAATTTTTTTTGTTTTTCAGTTGTACTGTAGAGATTATATAAAATTTATTTCTTATGGTTTAGATTGTTTTGCTAATAGTATTCTATAACATTATGCCAAACCACACCAAACCACACGAGTCTTATATACGACTTGGCGTTTAAAAGTACTGAGAACAGCCAACATTTGGTCACATAAGTTTATTTTTTTGAGTGCTGATGTTAACTCTCTTGAAACACTTCGTGTCATGGTAAGTTTTATATTTAAATACGTGGATATTTCAAATTATTACTTCCCAACTGTTTTTAGAATCCGACCATGGAAGGAAAACTAATCTTAATCAGTGACACTGTATTGGTATCACTATTGGGATCTCGTGAGTCAGTGGACTGGAATACACTATTTCAAAAAATTATATCGAAAATGACGAAAACCTACGTAATTACCTGGGCTGATGGACGGCAACTGATGCGGAAGTCAACACTGCCAAAAATTACATTTAAGGTTAAAATTTTTCATAGTAAACAGAGCACTGTTGATATCCACCTGATCATTCTTTTTCTGCTATGCAGTTCACTTTTCTTTGCAAACCCAACGGTATCTTTATATATAGTTTGTAATGCACTAGATCATGAAATGCAGCTTAGATGCTATATTATTCTTATGTATAATAGTTGATACCAGACATAAAAATTGTGATAACGTCAGCATTTGCAAATTATTGAATTATTGTTCTCGTTTGTTGAAAGTTACTTTTCTGTCGTGCTGCTTTCACTTCATTTATAGAAAATACATATGCATTGGAGTGCAGCTCATAAATTAAAATATGTAATGAAATGGAAGGAATCCCTTGATATTCTAGCATCAGCACTTGAAAATCGTGCCATTTTCTGAGAAATTTGAAAAATTTAATTTCAGATGAGTCCTAAAGTTATAAGTTCTAGATTGAAAATCGCGCTGGTAATAAGAAAGTGACGTTGGTGAATAATCTAAGTATTTATGGAATCGATCCTAAAAAATTTTGTCGTGAAATACAAACTGGTGTGGCGACAAGTGCTGTTATTATGAATAATGCTGCAGAATGCGAGGGCTTTCAAATTTTAGTGCAGGGAAACCAGGTAAATCTTTATTTTCCCTTAATATTTTAGCCTTTCAACACTTCGAGATCATTTCTTAGGAATTTTAATATTCTGAAATTTGCCAAAAAAGCTAGAACATTCTAACGCAGTGACTTGATATCTTTGGATAAACTAATCTAATTAGTAGGATTAAGCCTTTTTCAATGCAGAATTTGATGAATTACTCCCTTGCAACACTAAGAAGTTACTCTTTACAGACTTTTTTTCGGATTTTAATTACCATTTTGGGTCGTGCCTTCCGACTTTCCCGGTATATTTCATTTTCAGATCCTCTTCATCAGCAATCTTCTTACCAAATACGGTGTTGAGAAGAAGCATATGAGAGGTCTTGAACTCATTCCAAAGCAGCGATAGTCACACCCGTTCCAAAGAAGTGATGTGTTCTTCGTACTTATTCTGTTTATATTTTATCTGGGAATCTTTAAACATGTCCAAAAGTGCTTTGATCATTGGTATTCATATTTTTAGCAATGCTTTTCCTACCGTACAAATCCTTTGTAACTGTGGTCGAAATGACGAGAATCTTTATGGTGTTAAAAAAAATTTGATTTTCCGAGTGTACAAACGGGTCGATTTCTGTCCAAGCCTACTTTCTAGGTCGCTGAGGCATTTTATCTACTCAAAATTGTCAACTTAAAATCCCGTTGTAACTTGTCTGTATTTTTCACAGCTTTTTTGGATTGGATAGAATCCTTCGATTAATTTCATCTCAACGAAACCGCAATGCTGTTTTCATCTTTTGAGAGATAGCGTGAAATGTTATGAGCTGAGTTATGTAGAGAGTTCAGTTTTTATTAGCACCAATTTCTAGTTCAAGAAGTTTCGTTAGTTTTTCACTCTATTGGGAGGAATGTTTTGGTATCTTGACCAGTGGCTATACTCATTTTGTCTGTTTTCCGGTAAACTTTTGTGCTGATGAACGCTAAATTACGGGTTGTTTTTTGGACAGCTGATTCGGCAATAATTATTTCACTAGACTTCGCTATACTCTGATATCTGGCAAAAGTTAATTTAGTTTTAAGATTATCAACTGTGTTTTGTCCATTATGTCTGTTTCAAAATGCTGCTTCAAACTACAATAAATGAATTGTGATTGGTAGAAAGTTTAATGACTAAATATTTTCTGCTAAGAGATAAATCTTCGTCTGCTAAGATTTTGGAAAAATTGAAATGATCCAAGACTTACGAAATGGATAGATCCACAGAACGTCCATCTGTCAATCTACCGGAAGCGAGGATAGCCGCAGTGGAAGAAATATTGACCAGTGTTGCTGTAAAGCCACCGTGTATTGTACCAGATGAATTGAGATGTTCCTCAGCTACTTCCAACTCAATTTCGACATATCCGTCTTCAGCAGCTTTGTTTACCACACACTGCAGGTAAATGAGGAATGAGGGATGAGTTCGGTGACATCTGATTTGTTATCACCACTGATAGAAAAGAAATGGAACTAATAGAAAAGAAATGAAGAAACATACAAGGTTGCAGGATTATTCTCTTTAGGATGTAGGTTATGCAATACGGATGAAGCCCAGGGAAAGTGAGATTGTTTGCTTGAATTTTTGGTGGAGATGGATCGGTAATTAAACGATTTTCTAGGCAAGAATAATTTTATAAGCAATGATTCTTATCCGAATGCTCTGTCCTTTAGTTGAATACTACCACTGTTATTACGTCAAAATCTATGCCTGACTGATATCATTAATAACAGCAATGCTTTTTCGTTAGTGACGTTTCACTGTTCAAAACTCACTTTAATTTTTGCAGGTGAAAAAAATGCATACATGCCACAGATGGAAGTCTCTACGTCAATTTAGGTTCATCTTTAGGCACTGCCTTAAAATCAGTTACTTGTCAAACTAACGCTTATACAGCCGAAAAACTAAAAGAATTATTTTAGCTCTTTGTGTTTAACATGAATGACTGCATAGATTTCACCTTAGCAGTGTTTGCTTCCCAACTGTTATTATATGCTCAAAAGTAATCTTTTGTAGGAAAGTTAAGAAATGGATGGAATCACTTAAATATATGGAAAAGTTCGCGAACTTACATTCCGTAAGCAATATGCGAAGTCCTTCGAAGTGCTTCGAAGTCGCGAAACATCTTCTTCAGATAGATTAAACATTTGTTAGCCATGCTCCATATAAACAAAAGGAAGTTTTAAACCACCACCGGTGATCTCGAATTATACCTGTGTTAAGGTTGAAGTCACAGAGAAGCTGAAATTGACGAGCAAGTACACCGACTACTGTGACGAAATTGTTTCACTGGGATCAAACGTATACCGCGATATTTGTTGTATCATAGCGAGAATTCAGGAGGGGCGGGTGTTTTGTGTTTGTCAAGTTGGTTGTGTTTGATTTCAGAATTACAATGGATCCAGCATTATTGAAACAGCAAGCAGCATTTAAAGCTCGAGCTTCACAAGCCATTGAAATGGCGCGTAAAAGTACGGCATCCACGTCTCATTCTACGTATGAGTACGTTTTCTTCTACTATTGTTTTTCCTTCAAAACTGATGTGTAGTTTTGAATTCTAATGTTTGAAAATTTTAGTGCAGAAGCAAGTCGGAAAAAAAAACGTAAAGTATACAATGATTCGCAACTATTAGCCAAATGTAAGCTTTTTATATCTCACTTGCTCGTAATTGTGTGCATTCAGTCTTTTCAGGTAATGATCTTCTGTTAAGTATTCAGTTGGTTCTTATGCGTACAGCAAGTAAAATTACATTGTATATGCATAAATAACATTTGTGTTTCGAAAAACTTCTGCTTCAGCAAGAGGTTGTATTTCACGAGAGCTATCATTTCTGCTTTTATGAGATTTTATTCTTTCAGCCCTATCCGACTTCAATTCTAAAAATTTCCCCTCTCACTCGGCATCAAATGCTGTAAATTTTGGAACAATGGCGAAAATTGTTGATTATATGAAGGTAATGTAAATTCCACTATTTGTTGTTATTCACTGCTGGTCTTTTCTGTTCGGATGATAATTTATTTACTACTTAATTAGTACTTTAGTCTGTTTTAGCTGCTACTTCCAGTTTTTCGTTTGCTTTTTTTTTAAAAAAGTGTTCTTTCTCAATGTGTAAACATACGTAGTTATTTTTCACTTCATGGATGGATGCTTTATGTTCATATAAAATAGTTATTGTTAGATAGTTATCGAATAAAGATCTTTGCTTTTTCCGATTGAAGGTCTGGTCAGAAGTTAGTATAGATAGAATGACGTAACAATTGAGATCGTGAAATACCCGATAGTGAATATCGTTCTTTACTAACCATTGCATTAAATTTTTATGTGGTTAGGTCTTATTGCTGCAATCTTTTGTCATTCTGTGACTTGTAGAAACGACATTTATCGTCGCAACATTGGCCCCTAAGTTTGAAGGAGATATTGGAGGAATTACAAATATACGACCTTGGAAAAAAATCGGAGTTATGGCTGCAGGAAGTTTGTTTTCATTTGCTGTTTTGCTTTTGTTGATTAGGTCTTTTGAAGAATTTTATTTTCCACTTTTATTCGTAATTCGAAAGACTTCAATTTTAAAGTTTGATTAAAATCTTTAAAAACAGTCACTTTTTTCTCAGATTTTGTCGGAAAAAATTTCCAATTTATGCACTTAATTTTACTGTTATCTTGATCTTTTTAATCTTATATATCATTAAATATAAATGAAATTCTGTTTTAGTCTTTGCCGATGAATCCACGATTAATTGTTGATGAAAATGGAAAATATCTTTTCAAGCCGCCTTACAAGATCAAGGGAAAGAATTCTTTATTAGCACTATTAAAAAAATATCACACAGAAGGAAGGGGCGGCATTTTGTTATCGGATCTCAATGAATGTATACCGGCTGCTGAAAAGCATATTGAGGTTTGTTATATAAGTTTGGAGGTTTTAATAATTCGTATATCTTCCTTTGGAAGTATTACAGAGGTTTTAGTTGATCGGATTTGATAATGGAAGATACTGATCAATTCTTAAAGGTTTTAACGATCGAGTGAGAATGATGGGTCGAAATCTGCGTTAACCATCAGCCTTTCTGAGACTTTCTTAATCTGTTGATTTTACTCCAAGTCTGATTCGTTTTAGGCACTTAGTAATCTTGTAATTGATGTACAGACGATGATCAACAAACGTAAAGACCATGTTTATTTTTATAACGATCCCGATACCGATTATGAAGTTGATGAAAGTAAGATATATTCCCTGTTTGCATATTGAATAAAAATCTTGGGATTGATTCTATTTTACTGCACTCAATTTATTATTAAAAATTAATTTAATTTTAATCTGTTTCTTTTTTTCAGTTCAAACAATTTTAATTTATAAAAAAATATGAAAACATTTGAAAGGAGAATCCTCTTAAATGAGAATTTTCAGTAAACTTATGATAGTGAGTGATACAATATTGAGTTCTTTTGTGCTCCGGTGATTATTCTATGATGATATTTGGAAAATTTTTTCACCTTTACATGAACAATAGGGTATTTAGCAGACGAGTCCTCGAAGGAAGTGGAATTTTTTCAAGTCTGGATGTGAAAAATAAAGTTGATGAATCTTTCTATGCCTCTCTTCTAAGTTTAAAAGGTAGTATGTATAAACCTGTCAACATTTTGCAGAATTCAAAAGTTTATGGAGGAACGCATCTGTTGATCATTTGGACGAGAAGAAGATCGAAGAATATCTCCAGAAACATGGAATTGATGTGATGAAAGATTTAGGACCGAAGAAAGTAACTGTTGCACCACCGAAACGAAAACTTCCACGGCGACGAGCTAATCAGAAAGTTCATAATGAACATTTGACTAATGTTTTAGAAGATTATTCAACTTAATTGCAACTCTTTAAAGTAGTTTATATTTTCTATGACTGAAAAATCTGCTAATATCCAAATCACGATCCTTATTTTCATTGTCTTTGTTTGCTGTATTTCCATTTAGTCCCATTGACTCAGCTCTTCACATTATTGAAACAATCGTGTCACATCATGCTTTCATATAAGTAAATCTCTCATCGCACTGATAATACCGAACATTGACACAAGAGTGTTTTATAGCACAGTTTTTTATTAGTGTTTTTCCCTCTTTTTTGTAATATTATTTTTTTCAACAAAATCTTTCAAAAATCTCAGATTGTAAGCAGAAAATCAAATAGGAGTTATTAACTGGATTTCATATTGTAGATGAAATATTAAGCATTTTTGAGGTGACCCCTCACAATTAGTTGGATTCAAAACTTTTTGTCTTTAGGATAAAAATTATATAGCAAGTATAGGAAGATGGTAGTCCCATTCTCAGATCTGGATTATTATATAAATGTTTTCGGGAGAGAGAGGAATTAAATCAAGTGGATAGTAGGAAGGAGGGGGCAAAGAATTCGTGATTTATGTTTTAGTTGCAAGATATCAGAAGCAATACCTGTTTCATTAAATCATGGGAGGAGCGGTGTTTTCACCGACTCGCGGAATTTGAAATCGTTTAAAACAGGAAATGCCCCAAATTGCTACCTTTTGGTGACCTTTGGTACCCAATAGCAGTAATGAAATTAAATTGTAAACAATGAGGCAGGAGTGAAAGAGAGAAGCATCAGTGGGAATAGCCTGTTCGGCCGGTCGCGGGTCTCATTGATATCCGGAACGTTTTTGATCGGCGATGCTGGGAAATGCAGCGAAAAAATAGATGTTTGCAATTTCGTAGGTTTTGTAATCGAAGGTTGGTTAATGAGGGCATGAGACGAATGCTGGCTGACTTTTTGATTTGGTTGACATGATATTTGACCCGGATGCAACGAAATGGTGTGCAAGCGACTCAAATTTCAGCGTAAAGGGTCGCATGGAATGAGTCCTTTTTGCTTATTAGAAACCTGTTTTTGAATTTGTACAACGTATATTGCCCTTCCTTTTTTAGCGATATTACTGGAACGGGAAGGTAACAAAAATTGCATTTTGAAAATAATGCAACACAGTAACGAATAGCTTCTGTTTGAATTCCTTCTATCAGTTGTCTACAGTATTCGTTTCTGCTTGTGTAAGCCCTCTCTGAATTGCAATATAATGAGTTAGTTCCGGATAGTTCAGGCGAATACTTTTTGCATAGATTTAATGAGGGTGAGACGCTGATGTGGAAGGCACGAAGTATAATGGATGATTATTACTTCTGAGGATTTTACTCTGTACTTATTCTTTCTTGCAACTGTTTCTAATTGCCTTTCGGTGATTGCATTTTCGAAAATCAATATATGGTTGGTCAGTTGGAAGAATTGATTATGATACTGGAACTGGTAATATTAAAACGTCATGCTAAACAAGTTTAGCAGGGAAAACTTTTTAAAAAAGCAAAACCTGTTGCTATTGCAAAAGGAAATTAATTTGTGCAGCATTTTTTCTTCTTGAAATGGGTGACTTATTCGGATTTGACCTCGCCTTTTCTTGACCCCATTGCTACTCTTTATATTTATTTTGACTTTGAAGAGCAATAAATCTTGCAACTTATTAAGATTTGCAAAAAAAGAAAAGTTTGTTTTGTATGGACCAGGAATAGTTAGTCATCGATTTTTTTTTCCTTTTTTTCAAGTTGAAAGAGGAAATTTTTACGTTTACTGAGTTCCTATGAATGACAACTAATAAAAACAATAACGACAATAACAGCGTATTATTACAAACTTTCTGTTCCTGATCGTTCATTTTTCATAAAATTCTTGTAACAAAATGAATCTATTGACATCGTTTTTCTTCCTTCTGAAGGTCAGGACATCCTGTAGCTTTCCAAGTAATGTATAAACAATCCAGTTATTCTCGAAGTAAAAGTATTTGGTCAAAGCTCAACAAGCGATATCACAACTGTTTCATATTCTTCTATCTGTTCAAGTCTCGTTTATGATGACCTTCTGAAATTTGACTATCCTTAGCTTTAACTGTTTAAGACCTCTCTTCATAGAAACCAATGTTACTGCAAATCATCCAATAGGGTTTGTATGAATAACAGGTAACTAGTAAATAAATCCAAAATAAAAGATACATTTCATGATTCCAAAAAGGCTTTATGTTATAACAAAAGAAGAGATTGCTTGATTTTCGGTTACTTTCGACAAATAAGTATGGAAGGCTTGAAAGATGAACTTCCCAAAGAATTTAACTTATCTTCCAGTTATATTGTTGATATCGAATTAATGAATTGTGATTTTTCTGGATGTTAATTCTGATTCCTCCCACATTTTCCCTAGCATTCAACGTTTCAATGCGATGATATTGCGTGATCTTAAGTCTTATGTGTCTTCCCAAGAATTCTTCCTCATCATTCGGAATACTTAAATTATCACTGATGACTTGTAGTAATTTTGGTGTCAATAATGGACCTCCCTGTCCCGCATGTTATTGCTTTATTTTCAGAATTAAAAAGCCGAAAAAAAATCATAAATCAAGTCTATTTTTGTCAGAATTCGTCGAAATAAAAGAAAAAAAAGAATAAACAGTGTAATTTGATAGAAATGGATAAATTTAAATGTACGAATTTCAATTATCTCACATCAATATGGGGATATAATCTGTGGAAATCTCCATCTGGGGTTAGCAAAGACGTATATCGGGAATAGAAAATGATCACTTAATTAGTTGATTGGTAATTAAATGATGTCTCGTTGTTCCGAACAAGAATTAGGATGTGAACACCATGGGATTGGTTAATTTGTTGAAATTTTGAATTGGCTGTCTTTTTCATTTAGCAGAAAGTGAAAATTATTTCCCAGGTCACATTGGTCGTGAGGTCAACAATACATTTCTACTGCATACAGCATTGTTTTTTCTTTTTATGTTTTTTGTTTTTGTTTGTGACAAATTAAAGCGAAATAGCCCATTTATCTTTGAAAAGGGTTTCTTTTACTTGTAAAACTGGTTTTTTCCGCTCCAAAAATCCAGAAAATTTTGGAATATTTCGAATTGCTGTTGCTATTTGACCTACTGCTGTTGGCTGGGTAGTTCATAGCGGCAGCAATGGTGGTAGTAGTAGTAGTGGTAGTAGTAGTAGTAGTAGCAGTAGTAGTAGGTTAGTAGTAGTAGTAGTAGTAGTGGTAGTAGTAGTAGTAATAGTAGTAGTAGTAGTGGTAGTAGTAGTAGTTAGTAGTAGTAGTAGTAGTAGTTGTTGTTGTTGTTGTTGTTTGTTGTTGTTTGTTGTTGTTGTTTATTGTTGTTGTTGTTGTTTGTTGTTGTTTATTGTTGTTTATTGTTGTTGTTTGTTGTCGTTGTTTGTTGTCGTTGTTTGTTGT